AGGACGGACGAGTGCACAGACAGTGGGTCTGCTGTCCAACAGATCACAGCGAGGTGTGTGTGTGTCGTATGGACATATCACCATGGTAACATGGTTGGCATGGCGACAAAGTTTTCTGTCTGCGAGCTGTCCCCCTTCCTTTGTCCACATCTCTCTCTCTCTCCATCCCGGTGTCACTCAGTGTCTCTCGCCCCGTGTTGACGAGCTTCGTTAATTAGGGTTTCGTCTGATTGATTTTTGTTTAGCGAGCGGTCAGAATTTATAGGCAAATGGATCAATATGTGTCAGATAGTCAGTCATACCACAGTTGAAAACTTTTCTTTCTTCTAAATTTTTATATTTTTTGTTTGTTTTTTTTGTTGTTTAAGTTTAGTTTTAGTGTTTCATCCCCGTGTTTTTAAGAGGAGATGACAGGAGGAAAAAACACGGAAAACTTGTGACAATGACTGAAGACGACGTGCGCTGGCAGCGTAACAGCGATGTATTTACAAAAACATAATTAAGTTAAAAGATTGCGCATTTATCGGCTGTTTGCTCGGCTGACGGCGTGCGTGGAGGACAGGAGGAAGTCGCAGGGCCTGTCGGAGGCAGGAGGCTGCAGGAAGGTCAGAGCTTTTACACGAGCTCCGCTTATCCAGATAATCACCCTCCAATCAGCTCCTGCAGGACAAAGCTTACCACAGCCAAAACAAAACAGAGACACCCAGTGCCTGACCGGCCGGACTTTTTTAAATGTAACTCATTATAACGCCAGAAGCCATTAAACGCTATTAACAGTGGAAAGATGTTTGTCCATTTGAGTCTTGCATGTGTGTGACGACCTGTTTTCTGTGACTTCAGGCACCTGTACCAGCACATTACAGACCACTGAGTCTTTGATGAGTAATGTCTAGAAAGGCTGTGGTGCACGTGTGAAAACAGCACCTCGGGACGCGTGGTGGACTTTTCTCTTTCATTACCTTTCACTTTACAAAGGATATTGTGACTGATGAGCCCGTGAGGAGAGTTGCTGTGCTCTACATCATCTCAGCCTCCAGAATCACGTCCTCCCAGCCGCCTCTCTCTCCGCGTGCTTCTCGGTAGATCAGTTACCAACAGAATGAAAATCTGAGCCCGAGCGCGTCTGATGTGCCGAGCTGTGATTGAGGATCTTGTCTTGCCAGCTCTTGAATTAATGATGATGTCCTCCCTCAGCTCCTCCTCATCTATTCTTAATGCTCTCGCTCTACTATAGAGTTCGGCCTCTGCTGCAGATCATATCCGCCTCTCTCCTCCATCTTTTACCCTCCCTCTCTCACTTCTTACTCCTGTCTTTTTCTTTTTTTTTTGATCCGCCGTCTCGCAGATTAAGCATTTATGTTTCTTTTTTTTCTCTTGTTGCTTTCTGCTTTCAGATTTGTCCCTTTCCACCCACACTACCACCATAAAATAAGATAAATTCTTGGTGAAATGAAAAGTACATTGGATACAGTGGAATACAGTATTTCTTTCTTTAGCAAAGGCAAAAATTCAAGAGAATTTAAGTTTATAAGCTCTAATTGTTCATTTCTAAATGTTAAATTCCGAGTTATTTAAGGAGGTTACACTAAAATAACAGTATTATACTGTAAAGCTCATATTGTGTACAGCACACCATCGTCATAGGGTTACAAGTTTACAGTAAGGGTTGAATTCTGAGCTCTTCTGAATTCTTCACGTTCACAAAAGCAGTTTGAGGTGATTTCAGCTTTGTAACGTGCTCAGGTGGGCTGTGGTGTTTAAACATTACTGCCAAGAAAATATCCCGACACATTACACCAGCAGCAGCAGCCTGAACCACCGATACCTCAGTTTCCTGTTCTTAGGTGACAGGAGTGGCCTGATGTGGTCTTCTGCTGCTGTAGCTCATCTTTTTCAAGGTTGGATGTGTGCTCTGTTCAGAGACGCTCTTCTGCACGCTTTGGTTGTAATGGGTGGATATTTCAGTTGCTGTCAGACCTTCCTGTCAGCTCGAAGCAGCTCGCCCAATCTCCTCTGACCTCTGACACGCTCGGTTTGAACTTTATTGTTCCAGTGATCAGTGCTCATAATGAGGTCAGTGTGTGTGTGTGCTTCAGATGGGTTTTCCCCTTGTGGCTCCTCAGTGGGAGTGTCTGTCCTTATATGGTAAGGACAGTCAAAGCTTCTTTTTTCTAGGGACAGCCAATCAGAAGAAAGGTTTACTTCAGACATGAACAGGTTGGATAGGATGGACTGAAGTTCTGCAAAGTATAAGATAAACAAGGATTATTTTGAGCTCTAATTCATGCAAAGCTACTCTAATGCAATAGAATAACAGGTCCCCTTTAAACAGAAAAACATTGATGGTCCAAGTCATTACATGACAGCAGATCATCTGCAGTTGGTCACTCCCAACAGGTTAGAGTCATTTTAATGTTTTGGTCCTTGAACTCTCTTAATAAACTGGCTTCATGATTAAACGCACAGATTCAAACTTTAATAGAAAGCGTCGTCCTGCTGTGCCTCCGAGTCCCACACCGTGGCGTCCTGCTCTGGGTTTTCTGTCTCTGTAGGTGGAGCTCTTTTCTTTCAGATCTCCTGCGGGTGGCTGTCGCTGTCCTCGTACAGCCGTCCCCAAACTTACTGCAAAGCTCATAAAGTCTCATATTCAGCTCTCGCGCAGGCAGAGCTTTAAAAGGCAGCGTTTGATTGCATTAAACGTTTCTGCTTTTCTGCTGAACCCGCGCTTTGATCTCTTTGACAGGTGCCTCTCAGATCTGAGCCTCTGTGTGTCCGTGTGTGTCACTCGATGCAAGGCCGACGGAAATGCACTTGATGCCTCTAACCTGACAAATCCCAAATGTGTGTGTCTCTTTGTGTGTTTGTGCGTGCGCGCGGTGGACATCCGGCCTGTTAATTTGATTGCGTAACGGGCTTAGAGGGCACAGATTGTCTGGAATGGAATCCCGCTCGCTCAATCCATGATAGCTGCTGCCATGGAGAGAGGCTTTACACACACACAACCACAGAAAACACACACACACACATCAACACACACACACACGTGTAACACACACGCAACCACAGCACGCACGCACACACACACACACGTCTACTTTGACATTTGAGGCGTTTATCTGATGCTTTTACCCACTGCTACTCACGCTGAGAGCAACAGTGGAAAAAGCTTTAGTTCAACAGGAATTTAAAGCAGCTTCACACACACACACACACACACACACACACACATAAGGAATACATAACAACAGCCTGGTTGGCATTATTACTCGAGTCCCACTTGCATCTATTTTTATTAGCGCAGTTAATAAGGGATATGCACGTGACGCTGGAAATGTTTCCTCTCATTTCCTCTCGCTGTCTGACACTCGCTATCCGCCGTTAAAGTAAACTCAGACACAGCCAAGATTTCCAGCTCCTTTTCCAGGCCAAACTCTGCAGTGCATGTAAATAAAAAGTTGACAAAAGGCGCCTAAAATAACCCGCGTGCTTGTGAAACTGAGAAACGGGGACCTACTAATAGAAGTTAAGGTAAAACATTGTTGACATATATGAAGTTTTTCCCATTAAATCAGCTAAAGCTGAGAAATGTTTCCCCGACCCCAGAATGGTTCATTTCCTCTGCAGTAGCTTTCATTTATCGGATGAAGCAGTGCAACCTTCATACTATTATGAATGAAGTTTCAGGCCCTTGAACTGCACAGGCTGATCAGAAATGTGCAATTTTTATCTTTCCATAACTTGTTAAGTAAGTAAATAAGCAGGTGAAATTTTCAGAGCTGAGAAACTGCAACCAAAGCTGTTCAAAGTGGCGCCGTCGAAAGCAAAAATCTGTTTTTGTTCAGCACAATTTCGTTAAATGTCATCAGCTTTGAGTATCGGTGTCGTGGGAAAACTGAACCAGTTTCACATCTGTGACAAAAATGTGTCTGGCTGATCGTTCGTGTGATCAGTCATGTGAAATTGTCCAAAAGCCTCATTCAGTTATTTCTTAAACAAACAGAGCCGAAACTTTCAAATGTGCATTGCATCCCCGCTTTCCTTCCTTCCCGCCGCTTGGGTCTGATCATCGGGGAGTTTTGTGTTTGTGAGTCATTATTTTGACACAGGCTAAAATTGTTAGACGAGCTTATGTATATATTTGGCCTACCACTGGTGAAAACTTTTATTTTTGTGATTAAAAATGGCTTAAAAGACTTCTGACATGAGGCGATTCACCTTCAGAAGTTCAGGCTCAATCATTCACCCCTCTCTCCCCAGCCTGTGATTTTTTAACTCGATTTATTTATTTTCTGATCTTTCTGAACATTTTTCCCAAGTTTAAAGCTCAAATCAGTGCGTTGGATACATCACAACAACTTATAGCCTGAAGCGGGTGGAGACCAGGGGAGAAGTGCACATGTAGACATTGTTATTGCCTCTCTGATCATTTCAGCATCACCTGCAGTTTAAAGGAGTGCTCATCATTTGCTCCACCACTATTTTAAAGCTTTTGTAACACAGATTTACAATATAAAAGACAAATCTACTATAGTGAAGCACTAAAGAGATTGCACTGGTTTTTGTTTAGTCATCCTTGGACAGAAGTATCTGACTATTTAGCTCCATCTGCTCATGTCTGCTGTTGGTGCTGGGCACATAGTGTTTGGTTGGTGTATCCGAACTTCCTGCTGCTGCTACACGTTTATTAGTTCATGCATCCTGTTGACAGAGTGTTAGTATTGATGCAGGTACTTTTTAGCTTTCAGCCCAGTCTGCTTTGATTTTCTGTGCGGAAACGAGCGCACGGGCCTGAGAGGTGACAACAGGTGGAGGTAATCGAAGAAATGTCACCCGTCCTTTCAGGGGGCGACGCTCGCATTGTGCACATTGTGTCTGCGCGAGTGGGGGCGGCGTGTTTGCGACAGGTGGAGGATGTTTGGTGGGAAGCGTCCACATTGTGTCTGTGCTGGAGCTGAACCGGTTGGCTGTGGGTTTTGTGGATGTTTGATTTGTCCTCTGCGTCAGCTCCTGACTTTATGCATGCACGTCTGTGTCACAGTGTGGTTGTTGCATGAGCAAGAGGCGGACCACACGACTAAGTACAAGATATTTTTAAAATATGTTTGAGCAGTAATATTTGTGACACACAGAACTTTAGAAAACTCCTAAAATGTGAATACTTTCTATGTTTTTCACACGTCGCCCTCCTTTCAAAGCAGGGGTGACTGTGGCTCAGGAGCCCGAGTGAGTCGACTCTGAAGGTCGGGGTCTCAGTTCTTCTAGTCTAGGGCAAGATACCCCGAGTTGACCTCAGTGCGTCCATCAGCTTGTGTGTGTGACTGTTGCATAGAACAGGACGTGCTTGTATGGGTGTGCTGTCTGCATCAGCTGTTCCACTTTAGGTTTGTCTGCGCCGCTTCTACTTCTCGATCCTGTAAGTCGCATTCTGACCACCGACGAGCACTTTGTGCATTTGCACCTGATTTTATCTGGATTATTATAATTCTGACTTGAATCGCCATGAAGCCTGCATCATTGCGTCTTGTTGTTTACCTTCAGCACTGGTGCGCCGATTGAATCTGTGCACAAATGAACAGAGTTGTGAAAATGAGGAAAATGTGCATAACAGCGCTGGCTGAATACGAGCTATTGTATCAGCACAATAAAGACACTAGATACTGTAGGTTTACAGCCTAATACAGTCATACACAGATCGCAACTGGAATGAAATCAGTCTCTACTGATATGAACTGGGTAATGTGTTAGGAATGAAAGGACGCCACATTGTTTGATGGAAATGAAAGCGATCAGCCTACAGAGGGTTGAATTCAAAGTGAAAACGTTTAGGTTTGTCCACTTTGCTGTAATTTCATCCTCCTGGAGCGTTATTGTGCACCAGGAGGAACCCAGGACCCACTGCACCAGACCAGTGGGACAGAGGATCCAAGGAGGCTCCAAAGTGCCGATGCCTGGCCTGTAGAAGTCTGTGCGGCCCTCTGTGGATGTGCCTCACCGGATCATTACTCACCCATCTTCAGACCACTCATGGTGAACAATGTTACAGGCAGCATAACGATCTCCATTTGTTCTCCAGACCCTTTCACGTGTGTCACATGTGCTCAGGTCCAATGGTGCCATGGAGTGAACACAAGGCCCATTAGACGACGTCAGGCCCACCCCTCACAGCAGTGAGACTGTCCTGGGAGACACACCAAACCTTCAGAGTGGGATGTGTGATGTGCCATCCTGGAAGAGTTGGACTACCTGTGTTGCCTCTGCATGCTATCACCTCATGCTACCAGTAGTGACACTGACCCTACCCAAAAAAAACAGCCCTACAGAATAAACCAGGTGTTGCTTTTGGGTTGTTTCACTGTTGTCCTTCTAGTTCACATGAGATTAATTTCAATATCCCAGAACTTAAACCGACTTGATGCTGTATTAAAAATTGCTGAAGTAACCTTCATCTCATAGAGGTGTCTTTCCACCACCTATTCGCAGCTGTTAAGGTCTTCATCTCGTCACATTTCTCAGCACACATCTGGATCAAAGCAGTTTTTTGGTAACATGCGCTGACGTGTTAAACACCAGGTTATGTTACTCAAACATACTGATTCTTCTCAGTTCTGACTCCAGGCCTTTATTCCTGCATTTAGTTTAGTTTAGTTTAGTTTTTTAAGGAAAGTGTAGTTAAATTCTGTATACGTATGCTTTTTAGCATTATTTAACATTTAATTATCTAAAAATGTTCCACTTGTAATCAGTAGATTGTGATGTTGTGCAGCAAACTACGGCTAACAGAGCTGGAGCAGGAAGATCTGCAGCTGTAGAGGCCTCGAGGCAGATACTTAGTGACAGAAAGGAGCCATAATTAATGACATCTGAACTTTTTTTATGTGTCACAGATAAAGGAGCCATACAGGTATGCTAAACACAAATACAGGCATTAAAAATATTCAGCGTACAGAGCTGCTGACAGGGAATCAGCTCTGCCACGCCTCTCCTTTGGGAAGAAACATACCTAAAAGGCAGTTGCACACTGTTGCACAACTTTTCAAGGAATGATGTTGTTTAACCTGGAAATTGTACAGAAAAGATTCCACAGTGTTGTCAGGCTTAAACGTGCCTCTGATTAGGATTTTGAACTTCAGTTTTTGCTCCTGTCAGTGTCACACTTTGTTCACAAACCCAACCTTATTAAAACAGTCTTTAAAAAGCTGTTAAAAGCACTTCTATTATAGTTTGGCAATAGTTAAACTGAATTGTTTCACTTCAATAACATCACCAGTATGCACATTAACAGCTTCGGGCTGTTTCCAGCCTCTCAGTGGGCCTTTGGGTGTGTGTCTATTTATTAGAAGTATCTTTGCGGGAAAACCCCTGAACATTATTCCTTTCTGATAGATTTCTTCTTCTTGTGTATTTGCAACAACCTTCCTGGTCTGTGTGAGTCAGCATGAGAAGGAATAAACATGCAGATGAATGAATCTGTGTCTTAAATGAAATATTTACACTCCAGCATGTTCAGCTGACACTTTAAAGATCGCACTCATTGATATTTTTAAGTGAAATCTGCACGTGGGATGTTTCCCTGAACGCCTGAGTGTGAAAATAGATGTGGGAGTTTTCTTCCTTGTGGTATTTAGTCGTGGGTCGGAGAGTTATGTGAGGGAGTGGGGATCTCCAGGACACCTGGTGGAAACACTGGGTGGAAGGTTACAGCTGCGTGTTGGTTGAGGACTGGAGAGAAGTGGGACGGGAGGGGGGATCCCAGTTCCCTTCTGGATTTGGATCTCTCCTCCTCCTCTCCTTTTCCTCCTCTTCCTCCGGGTATCCCCTCACACTGACTCACAGACACACACTAGTTTGTCCGCCTGAGTCCAAAGTTATCGCTGCTGCAGCTCCCGGCTCCTCGGTTCAGTCCAGCTTGTGATGACGCAGTGCGCCGCCGCCACCACCGAGGCCAAGCCGGCATGCGTGAGCGCTCTCGGCGGCCTCATCAGAGCACTGAGGAGTCGGCTAAAGTCGCTCCGACAACTCCTGAGACCGAACCAGAACGGTGTCCGCCGGGAGAAACCTGGAGGGACGGTTTTAGACTGCTGTGGACCGAAGCTGTCCAGCCTGGCTGTGAGTTACTCTGCATGCGGGGCATAAAACAGTCGTCTTACATCCTCCTGGCAGTAAAAATGTGCTCATCAGCAGGTGATGAATAAGACAAGGAAGTAAATACTGCAGCTGGAGCTGTAATATTGATCCAATGCATTTGAACATTTGAAGGGGTCCTCACAGCGCTGACAGCTTTGATTTCAGAGGATATTTGGCTCTAAAATTGGTGGAAACTGAGGTTTATTTTGAGTTTTCCTGCTTTTCTGAGCTCAGGTAGCAAAAGGACTGAGCCCCAGCTCGGCGTGTGTGCGTGTTTGTGAAATCAGCTGGTGGTGTGGTGATATTTCACAGTTCAGATTTACTGTTCATTCTGAAGAAAATGTTAATTTGATGACCTTAAAATCGAGACTGAAGTGTATTTGTTATACATATACTTATATGTAGCCAAGAATAATTCATTCATTGTGTATCTGTGTGTGTGTGTGTCTGTGTTGGGGGCTGTTAAGGCTTCAGGGGAGTCGGGTTACGTCCTCTCAAAGTCTGACGTGTCCTACCATCAGCTTCAAAGGTCTTTGTTCCACAACAACATGTCAGAGTGTCGTCGATCTAATGAATACATTTCAGCTTTCCTCTGTTCAACAGTGTCTGCCCCTGCAAAGGTCGACGATGATGCTATTTTTAGACAGAATCTCAATTGAATGTATTTGTGTTTCATGCGTGACTGAACGTTGGTATGGAGTTATGTTTGTGTCCAGGTTATGTAATCAAAAAGAACAACGACTCAGTTTTGAGAGCGAAACTTTAGCTTACTGATGTGTTTCAGTCTTAATGAATTATGAGCAACATCAAAGACTGCACATAAAATGTCGCGGGGTTGTTTTTGTCATGTTTTTTGGACAACAGCGTGGAACAGTTCATGTTAATTAGGCCTGAAATTGTAGCGATTCACTCACCACACGAGCACGGACTTCTTCAACAAGCTGGTGCTACAACTGACTGCGCAGCAGCGTGTATTATATCAAATATTGAAGTAAAAAACATGTTTGGAAGAGTTTAACCCAGCACAGTTCTGAAAGGATGAAATTAGCTGGGTTTGTTTTTAGCAGGATGTCTCTACTGTAAAGTTGGACATTTAGCATCTATTTTTGGAGACTGCCTCAAGTGGACAGTAGAGGAACTGCAGTTTTTGGCTTTGGTAAAATCCTCAGTAAATAAATAAGTGAAGGAGTCAGTGCAGAAGACAGAAAGTATATTTCATATAGAAGAAGAGAAAGCTAGGTTGTAAAGTGAAGCATCAAGCATCCCATGAAACTACTTATACACAATATAAAAGAGGCGCCAGGATCAGCAGATTTCCTGGTCCAAAGCTAGTCAAGCATCAAGGTTGTTACCACGTGAGTAAGATATAATACATAGTAACAAATTCTTAATAATCAAGACAAAAAACTACTCAGTTGCTGTGCTTCCTAAGTGCTTCGCCTTTGTAATAACAACATCTTACAGTTAATCGTGCAATATTTAGGAAGGAAGAGATTTCACAAACGAGCTTGTTGCAACAGTGGCATCCTGTTACAGTTGAGTTTGTAAGAACAGCTCATTCAAATGTTCACAAACTCAGACTGCGCTGAGGTGTTTGACTTTATACACGACTGAAAACAGCTCAATTCAAAGATTAAGAGGTGTGGCCAAGAGGTCAAGAGCAGACTGACGCACAAACACAGAGTGCTTAATTTCACAGTGAAGGGAAAATTGAGGAGAGTGATCATCTGGCCAAGACTTTTTCAGTACTTTTTCTTAGTTTTCCTAAAGCTGCATAAATATAACAATACAACAAAATATTGCGGGCTCTGTTTGCTCCAAAAAACCGTCTCAGTCATGTCTGACCCCGTGATCTGCAGCATCAGCAAGTGTGGCACACTTTAATTCATAATGCACGAGGAAGTTTCCCTGAAGCCAGTCGCACGTACGGCTCGAGTTGATTTCCCGGTTGGAGCAGAGGTTGGAAACATGCGCTCAGTTTATGTTAATCTAATCTGGCGGCTGTAATGTGTCCGCCGGCGAGGTCTGCTGCTGCAGAAGTGTGTAACAGCATCACACCGACTCAATCTGGCCTCTTAATTAGATCAGACGGCAGACAGATGATGTGAGGCTGCTCCGCTGCGTCGTGGCCAGCTGTGCTTCTCAAACCTGTTTACAGGAGCTTCTGTTTGTTTGGTTTGGTACTCAAGCGTGTCAGTAAACGCATCACGGCGGATATTTCTGGACGACTGGATGAGAGAACTTTTAAATCCTGAAATGATTTTTTTAAGATTTTAGAAAACGTTTCTTTAGACCGTGCTGCGGTTGTCAGGTTCAGGTTTGTCACGTGGTGTTTGCTGTAGAGCCCAACGCCCGAAACAAGCACAGAAGGAGGTCAGAGGTCAGGAAGGACACCTGACGTTAACTCAAAAGCTTCCGAATGAATATAAAGAAAGGACAAAGTGGCAAGAGGAGACAACAGACTCTGATTTGTTGACGTTAACAGCAGAGTGTTTTACTGTTGGTTTGTTGTGCTTGTGAGTGTTGACCTTAAAGTTAAAATGCCAAACTGCCAATTAACACGTGCATGTAAAATGGTTTTATAAGGTCTCCTGTGGCCGAGAAAACAGCTGAGCTACACGAGTGGCATTTCGTCAGGGCAGAAAGTCAGGATCTCCTCTCTGCTCCGTCAGTTTTGACATTTGAGTTTTTCTACAAATTGTCTTGACAAATAACAGTTTTCACTTTAATGCACCTTGAAAATGCTGGTAAACAATTTAAAGCAATCTTGATATAGACTCACATATTCTAACACAAAGTGTTACGCTGTAAAAACTCAAAAACCTTTCCTGATTTGACTTCTAGCCACTGGAAATCCCACTCGGCCCCGACGATGTGCTCCAGGGTGGAGGACTGAGAGCCAAACTGTTCCCTCTCGTGTCTGTGCTGATACAAGATGGCCCAGTTTAGCTCGTTTCCTCTAAATCTTCTACCTTGGATGGCTCAGGATGTTACGGTAGAGCTCCACACTGATGCTCAGGGATGGATTCTTTGTGTTTCTTTAACTTTAAATAGAATTTAAAAGAAAAATTAGCTTAGAAATAAAAAAGGACGCAAGTTCATATGGTAGGGAGGGAGGCACTTGTTTGTGTTTTTTACAATAAAACTCCATCCTCTAATCCCTGCTAATGCCTGCACCACAGGAAGTCTGATGGGCAGGGCGCAGCGCCGATGAAGTAAGCAACAGAAAAGCTAAGCTGACAGGCAATAGATGGTGGACTTTGTGACAACTTTGAGTGTTTCCTCCTCTAGATGAACTTTGTAGACTGAAGAGTTTCTTTTAGCCCTGAGAGGTCAAACACTGCAACCTAAGAAATCACCAGTAACAAGGAAAACATTACAGAAGCTCGCAAAACACATGAATCGTGCAATTAAAACACAAATGACATTACATTTTGTTTCTCCCTCACCGTACCAACAAATCCTCTGCTTCTTTTCTAAAAACAATCCTTTGAATAGTTGGGTTTCTGTTGCTTCCACAGCTGTTGGGTCATGTTATTGTCTAATCACGTCTGGTGTGTTTATTTAGGCTGCAGTGCATTTGACCTCTCGGGGCCACCGTAATCTTGGTTTGACCTAAACACTATGAGTTTGAACTTTTAGGGAAAAGGGAATGCACTTAATTTATTACACTGTAACAGCAAAATGCAGAAGAGTAATGGTAAATGTCCTGTATTTATATAGCGCTTTACTAGTCACTAAGGACCCCAAAGCGCTTTACATATCCAGTCATTCACCCATTCACACACACATCCACACACTGGTAGAGTAAGAGTAAGAGTAAATGCATTCATAACCTGGGAAACCAAAAGTGATTATTGAGGATGCAATCCAAATATTGCCCAGCTCTATAATCCTGTGAGTGTTAAAAAACAAAACAAAAAACGAGTCTGAAACTGAAACTGAAGTAGGCGAAGTCGTACTTTAGTGTAATACCAATTTGTTCCATAAGAGGTTGCAGCGAGTCACCATAACCTTTATTTAGTGTTAAAGTTTTAAACATTTTTATTTTGAACGATGGTCTGGGAAAAAGGTAAAGCATTGTCTGGAAGCTGGAAAAACCACAAAAAGACCAGCGACAGGTAAAACACTGCCCCCTGGTGGTGGAAGTTTTAGATAAATTCTGCAGAGGATAGTTACAAAAACTCTTTAATGCATGTTTTTGTGCCAGTTTAATGTCTGTGGTGGTCAGAAGCCCCACCCACCTGTCGTTCATGCACCTGGATTGTGAAGGGCCAATCAGAAGAAAGTTGGGTTAAACAGGGAGGAGCTTGCTTCAGACGGAGGATGAGTTCATTATCAGATAAATCACGCAAGGCCTCTCTAGTAGAGTCCAAGAATAAGAGTGTGGAGCTGAACACGAGCAGATCAGATCACCGGTAATTAGTTCAGTCATTGATCAGCAGGGTTTCTTCAGTGTTTAGCTGCTCGTGTGTGTGTGTGTCTGTGTCTGTGTGTGTGTGTGTGTGTGTGTTGTGTGTGTGTGTGTGTGTGTGTGTGTGTGTGTGTGTGTGTGTGTGTGTGTGTGTGTGTGTGCGCGCGAGAAATGAACGTAACAGCAGAGGGAAGTTGGAAACACCATCAGTGTGTTTTTATATATAAGAAGTAAATATAAGATAATGAGGATAATAACAGGTAAAAGAAGCATTTAACATGTGTGGGAGCATGCAGGTGTGCGTATACCTGTGTGTTATTTATATTTGTGTGTGTGTGTGTGTGCGCTTGGTGCACAGGTGCAGGGTTTGCAGCTTTAATCCTGTGATTAAGAGGTGCTACATGAGCATCCTGTCGCTGCACTCGACTATTCTTGTTTAAGTCTCACATCACACACACACACACACACACACACACACACACACCACACACACACACACACACACACACACACACACACACACACACACACACACACATTCAAAACGTCAACAATGCGAAACCCGTCAGTTTTTCTCCGTCTATTTTCGTCAGTCAGCAGTGTCCAAATTGTTTTTGTGCGTTTATCAGCTGTTTGCAGCTCTCAGCCTCAGTCTGGATGTTTGGTCTCATTTACATAGAGCGCTGTGATGTTAGCGCGAAGAGCTGAATAATATTTGACTCTGAACTAGCTGTTAAACTCAGGTTTTCTCTTTTTTTCCCTGTTTCAGAATAATCACCCTCATATAAGCACGACTGGTCCTTGTATAGTTAAAATATAGTTAATATAGTTATATTTCATAAACCAAAATATATTTTATGTGTGACTAAATAAAAGCCCACTTTAAGGAAAACAGTTAATGAGGCAGCTAATGTAACATTTTAGTAAAACTAACAACTTTTGTTGCGTTAATAAAAATATTAAAAAGAAGTTATATATAAATTATTTCAAAGGATATTTTGAAGTTGAAAGTAACGATGCTCACATATGACAGACATGGTTATGATAAAAAAAAGATACTTACTTATACTTTTAGGAAACTGGAAGTTTAATTGTGATTAAACTGGAAATATGAAAGTAAGAAAGAAGACGTGAGCTGAGCTAAAGCCACGGTCAGGCAGGGTTAAGCTTTGAAGCAGTGATAGAAGTAAAGGAAAGTTGGGATGCTGAAAGGTAATGAGTGGATCAGCAGGCAGGTTGGAGTAATTCACATCCTGTTTCTCTCACAGCTGCTGGTTTAGGCTCAAGAAAAAACACAAAAAACACTTTGGCTGGTGATCGTATCCAAATGTGTGTATTTGACCATAAAATGTAACTGTGCTAATCAGCTGTGCTTTTATGCCTCATACCAAGTTTGAGCCATAAAGTTATGCAAATAAAATAATGTCAGTGTAAATAAAGGTGAGTGCACAGTCAACCACAGCTTCCTGTTAAATAAGAGCCCGAAGAAATCATAAAGATGGCAGAGGATGCGAGCGCATCAGCCGCTGCAGCGGTGGTTTCTGTGTGCAGGGAGAGTTTAAATACCAGCGCTGGAAGGCAGCGTGCTGGTCGTCCTCAAAGAGATTCACTGTTTACACAACCACGTGTTGAAAAACAGACGGCGAGAGCCTCTGACTAACGAGGATTAGCCATGAAAAGCGGTGTTTAAGTGACTCACGGGTGACGGCGAGCGTGAAGGTTGCTGCCTGTACGAGCGCTGTCCAGGGAGGAAACTGAAAGATTAAGCCTGGCAAAGAGTCGGGCTTTACATGAGGCAGTAACTTGTGTTTTTATGGATCATTTAAGGAGTCACTCCATAGCTTTATGTGCTGCTGTCCAGGCCCATGTCCTCTTTAATGATTGAACCTTTGATATGTTCGAAAGAAGCATTTTATTCATAGAAAAATATCCAAGCTGAGGCTCACAGCTTTAGTACTTGTGACGTTTCATTACTTGTTTTGGACACATTTCAGGCACTGAAGAGATCTCTAAAGTCCTCGGTGAAAGGCAGTAATACATCTTATATGGTACTTTTACTCAAGTAGAGTATCTGATTACCTTTTTCCACATCTATTACACGTCCCTCCCGACTCCAGCGTGTGACTTTCCGATGAGAAAGAGGCAGAGAGGGAGAGGTGTGATCCGGGGAGGAGAGGTGAGAACGGTTCAAATAAAGATAGAAAAGGCGAGAGAATCAGAGGGAACGAGGGAGGAAAGTAGGGAGGGAGCGAGGCGAGGATTTCTCAGAGGGAGAGAGAGGTAGGCGCAGAGAGGGAGAGGCAGAGGAGGAAGTGTCAGGGACGAGCAGAAGCCGGCGCCGGCTCCAGTCGATGCTCGGGAGCAATGTTAGCACCGCAGAGCCTGATCCGCAGCCGGGACTACAGGATCCATAATGCACTGGGACACCCCGCAGCGAGCAGGTCACCCACCTGGGAGCTGCAGGTATGAGGAGCAGGAGGAGGTGGGTGGAAATAAAGAGGATGGAGCACAGAGCAGAGCAGGGAGGATGATGGGAAAGTGGAAAGAGGTTGGAAATGCAGGGTGGGATTGTTTACCTGTTGTCCGGTTTACTGCATGAGTATCCCGAGGAAGGGCGGGCTCTTCAGGAGGAGACGAAGGCTGAAGGATGGATGATGGCGCTGAGCACAAACAGACATGCAGTGAGGCAACGTTAGTCAGCCAGCTACAGCGGGAAGCAGGTATCGGGGGTGGCTCCACGACAACTCTGTGTGTCTGTGTGTGTGTTGTGATGTCCTGCTGCGAGGATGACGAACGCTCAGGAAGCCTGCTCAACCTGTTCTGTGATTCAGGGAGATGTGAAGGAGCCGGGACGAAAGGGAACTCTGATGGGAGCTGTTGTGTTTTTAATCCCCGACCCTTCTTTTCCCAGAAATCCTTTCAAAATAAAACTCAGAAAAACAAGTCAGAACTTGTTCCACTGATAGTGTCAGTGTAGCTGAGACATGAGGTCTGTCAGTGCCTGATTGGTGCTGCTGCACAGGGGTGTTTCCTGGATGTGTTTGAATGAACCAAGGCCAGGCGGCGGGCTCTCAGGATATCAGTGTTTGATCAGAAGTAAGTAAAGTGTAGAAAATTGCCTCAGACGGGGTTTGAAAGAGGCTGTTATGGAGGCGACCGAGCACATTACCACAAGTGGTTCGCATATGCAGTCATGAGAAAGAGGAAGTGCATCCTCTTTCAAATCTCGGGTTTCATGTATCAGGACATAATACAAAAACATCATCTGGTCGTTAACAGCTTGTAAAGTTATCTAAATGATTAATTAAAAATAGAGCTAAAATCCAGAAGCGGTGTGTGAAAACTGAGCACACCCCACAGTTGGACCGCCTTTAGTGGCAACAACTTGAAGTAATCGTTTTCTGTGTGACTTTGTCAACCTCACACATTGTTGTGGAGGAATTTTGGCCCACAGTTCAGTGAAGTTTGTGAACACTTGTTTACTCACAGCTGTCTTAAAGTCCCACCGCAGCGTTTCAGTTGGGCTGAGGTCTGGACTTTGTCTGGGCCCTGCTGCCGTAGATTTGCTGCTGTCCTCATTCTCCTCAAGCTTTAGCTGTGAGACACGTGGCCTCACATTCGACTCCAGAATAGAGTTCAGTGGAGTTCACGGTCAACTCAGTGTCTGCAGAACAAGCCCAAATCTCCACCGCTGTGCTGACAGCTGCTATGATGTGTTTGTTCTCGTCTGTCCAAACCACTTTGTTCCACAAGTCTTTTGATTTCTTCAGATGCAGCTTTGCAAAGCTCAGCTGTGCTGCCATGTTCTTGGTAGAGACGGGAGCCTTTCTGCTGGGATGAACTCTAACACTTAACTGAGATCTGTAGAGTCTGACGAGTATTGCACGATCTTGTCCTTGGGGTGAATTTGCTGGGACGTCCGCTCCCAGATTGGCAGCGTGTTTTGAATGTTTTGCTCTTCTCACTGTAGAGTGACGGACTTCAGATTGTTAGCAGGCTTCCCTTAGCAGCCAGATGGGCAGCAACTGTGGCTTCTCAAAGTATATCTGAATGCTTCACTCCTGCAAACTCCTGCTTTCATAGAGCTGCTCGCAGGGATGGTGATCAGTTATTCAATGCATTTGATTAGCAGCACCTGGCTCCTACTCACCCTCCTGATTCCTGTGAATGCAGTGAGGATTCTGCGTTTTTGTTTTTCTGTTTAGTACAAATATACGAACAAAAGATTTGCATTTATTTAATATTAAAAGCTGTTATATTCAGTCACACTGTTTACACGTCTGAGGCTTTTATTGTGAAAATTAAAACAAAATTAAAGCTTTCTTCGTGATTTTCACACAAAAACAAACTTACTCAGGCTGCACTCTGTGCTGTATCTCAGCAGCTGCAATGCATCATGGTCTATTAAAGCTAAAGTGGGTGCAGAAATTGATCTCCTGCCTCCTGTAATGGCTGAATTTTGAGTAGAGGATAAATGCAAAGTCACCTCCGTGTATTAATGGATGTTTACTTTAGGACTTTTTCCGCTGCCAGAAAAGTTTATGGACGTCGGTCTGCACATCCATCAATAACCTGAAGCGTGCTACGGAACAAGCTATTAAAATAGCAGAACTTCACTTACCAAAACTGGAAGATAAACATCTCAGATGGCCTGTAAAGCTCAGTAATCCATATCATATGTCAGATGATGCTTTAAAAGTGCTCCAAAAGGCACCAAACAGTTGAAAGGCCCGGCTTATTGACCTCGATTAGGTGGAGGTGATGCAGAGCAGACAACCGTCCCCTAAAGCTGCCCCTGCTGGGATGCGGTCAAAATAGCCTCAGCTCCAACGCCAGTGTCCAGATAGTTGAGTTATAAATAAATTCATCGAGACCAAAGCAGTTAATCTATCCGACTGTAAACATGTTTATTTCTGCTGTAAATCTGGACATTTCAACATGGGAGCCTATGGAGACTGACTCAGGTTTGGAGCCTCAAGTGGCCACTAGAGGAACTGCAGTTTTCATTTTGCAGCTTTTAGATTAGATTAGATTAGATGAAACTTTATTAATCCCTCGGGTGGGTTCCTCCGGGAAATTCAGTTTCCAGTAGCAAAGCACCGAAAGAAGTTGCATGTTACAGATACATTAAGGGGAATGAGAGTAAGGATATAAGCATAAATACACTTTTTGGCTGCTATTTGGTAGAAATGGAGTATTTTTAGAGCTGTTTGAATTACAGCCAAGAATTACTGACCTCTGACCCCTTCAGACCTTAGTAATTATACCGAACTTCAATCCGTGTGTGTGTTTCAGGATGACGTCCCGATTAAGGAGATCAGCATCACTCACCACGTGAAGGAAGGGTCGGAAAAGGCCGACCCTCGGCAGTTCGAGCTGCGCAAAGTCCTGGGACAGGGCTCGTTTGGAAAGGTGCGTATGTGTGTGTGGGCCTATCATTGTGTGTGTGGGCGGGGCGGGGGGGTAAAGTGTCAGTTTTACTTCCACTCAACTCTCCTGTAACGTTTCCCTCGTGCCAGTGTTTGAGAGCGAGTTGCTATGGTGATGGCAGGCTGAGGGCCCTTCACTCTCGCACTCAGTATCATCGTCTTTATGAAAGAGCAATTAGCCTCCTGCTTGGGCTGCGAGTGTGTGTGTGTTGTGTTAATCTTCATGAGTGCGACCTGGATAATGGGAACAACCCAAACAAACTCTCATCCTCACACAGAAACAAACGACACTCACAGTGTGCATAACGACATGCAGCACTTACATTTATTCAGTAAAGATGATTTATTATTATTTCGTGTGTGTGTGTGGTGTGTTTGTGTGTGTGTGTGTGTGTGTGTGTGTGTGTGTGTGTGTGTGTGTGTGTGTGTGTAGGTGTTTCTGGTGAGGAAGATCACAGGACCGGACGCTGGTCAGCTGTACGCCATGAAGGTGTTGAAGAAAGCCACACTGAAAGGTAGAAACAGCAGAGCCATTAAACACTAAAACCAGCAACAACACCACGGACTGTGTTTGTATATCAGAGATGGCCACGCCCACCACTTTGTCTCAAAATGCTCCAAAGGCAATAAAACTGTCATGGAGTGTGGGTGGAGCGGACTTGAACGCAGATCTCCACGTGCAAAGAGACAGTGAATTTATTTACAGTGCAAAATCATAACAGTTCAGTGTGGAGTCCTTTGGCCGCGGCGCCCCGTGGTGAATTCTCACGGCTCCCGAAAGTGCAGTTTGGCGATGTGAAGGCAGGCGACACTCCGTGCATTCATTCCCCGCTCGTGATTCAGCTCCCGTGTTTTCCTCTCCACTTCCTGGTGCGAAAGACAAAAAGGAGTGAGAAGCTTTCCGAGATTAGAAACAACACACCATCTAAACTGTCTAATGATCCAGCGCTGACTGAAGCCTGGTCGCGGCGTTAAATGCATCGGCGTCAGACAGTAATAATTCACCGCAGCTGGTGTGTTGATTAATCGCCGGTGTGGAGAAAACTCAGAGCGGAGCTACTTCCGGTCGGCGCTTCCGCCTCCGGGGGAGTGCGACTCCATCAAATTAAACACACAAATGAGCAGGTCGCCCGGCAGGTTGCATTCACTGCATTTTAGAGCGATGAGTAAATTCACTCCCGCACAGATGTAATGAAGGGAACAAATATGCTTAGATATCAAAACAGTTCTTGTAGCTGGCTGGTTACGCCTGGAGACCGAGATTGGTTGCTGGCAGATCGGCACAGTCTGTACTTTGTATGGAAGATTCAGCTAAAGTTTATTTATATAGCATCAAATCACAACAACAGTCTCCACGAGGTGCTTTGTATTATAAGAGAAACACAATATAACAGAGAAAACTCACCTGGTGACAGTGGGAAGGAAAAACTCCTTCAGAGAGCTGCAGACGACTCTTGCCTTCAAAGTAGAAGTTGTGCCTGGAAAAGTCACTTAAACACATTAAACGTTAACGCTCAGCACTTTTTATCCTTTTATTCATTTCTAAGTTAATTTAGCTCCATTTAAAAATTAATTTAGGAAGCTAATGCGCTGAGAGAGAGAACCGAAATAAGTTCTTTAAATGAGCTTTGACTCAAGTCAGACGCCATCTGCTGCTCCTTTCTTTAGCATCCTCTTCTTTCTTACTCATTTCTCTTTCCCCTTCTTATTTTTCTCTTTCGTGCTGCATATTTTCTTCACTCTCCTCCGTGACCCAGTTACTCCTTTGCAGCAAAAACAGAAACCGAACAACGGAGGCCGCGATTGATCTGCTGATTCTGTGTTTTCTGCTCTGTGTGCGTTTCCAGTGCGTGACCGGGTCAGGACGAAGATGGAGAGAGACATCCTGGTGGAGGTCAACCATCCCTTCATCGTCAAACTGCACTACGGTGAGTCAGCCAATAGCAGAGCTCTGTGAAGAGGAGTCACCGGCCAACCGGAGCTCGTCTTTGAGCTTTTTAAATACTAACTCAGTTTGCTTTCGCCCTCCAGCATTTCAGACGGAGGGGAAGCTCTACCTGATCCTGGATTTTCTCCGAGGAGGCGACCTCTTCACTCGTCTCTCTAAGGAGGTAACAGCAGTTTAAACCAACACAAACAGCGGGTATAGAAAGTGCCCAGCATTTCTAATCGCTATTTAAATCAGTGCATGGTGGTCCTGCACCCGTCTGAGCTGTCAGCTGCTGAGAAATAAGCCCATCCATCCATTTTCTTAACCAACTATTCAAATCGGGTCGAATGTGTGCTGGAGCCGATAGATACGTATATGATAGAATAAACGAAACCCTAAAAAGTCCGAATAAGAAATTAAAAAAAGCAAGCTGAAGAAGAAAAGACTCAGGCTTTTCATTTGTCCTGCACTTACAGCATGACTGCTGCTGTTTAAGGCTACATGGTCAAATCTGGACCTGCAGTGATTAAAAAAACACACCTGTGTTTCAGGTAATGTTCACAGAGGAAGACGTGAAGTTCTACCTGGCGGAGCTCGCGCTGGCCCTCGATCACCTCCACGGGCTCGGCATCATTTACAGAGACACATGCACACACAGATAGACACACAGACACGCACACACACACACACACACACACACACACACACACACACACCACACACACACACACACACAGCCTCATGCATGTAAACAAAGCAGCGTGCATCCCGGCAGGGCGATTAGGTCAGCTGCCAGGTTTCCCTCGTGGAGATCTCTAATGCAGTTAGCAAAATGGCTTTTCCAGGCCACTAATGTCTGTGTTTACGTTCAAGTCAACTCTGTTTTATTTAAACAGCACATTTAAAACGACTGGAGTTGGCCCCGTCTGTGGAGGCAGAGAAATGCAACAGAATCGATTTTAAGGCTGTCAGCTGTTCTGTTATTTGGAGGCAATAACAGAAACGCCTGCTCACCTTTGGTCTTCAGGTTAGGGGCTGTGAGCTGATCGCAGAGAGCTGGAGATCCTGACGCAGGGCTTTAAACACAAGTAGTAAAACTTTTAAATGGCAGTGCAGCTGAGCTCAGACTGCAGCGACGTCTTGTGTTTACTTTGTCGGGCAGCTGAGCCTGTGAGTCAGAGAGAGTGCAGCTGGACCATCAGAGCTACAGAAGTCTAACGGAGAGGTGATGAAGGTGAACCATCACAGCAGAGGTCAGGGAAAGTGCAAAGTTAGCAGGAATAGTCCTTTAACCAGGGGTGTCAAACATAAGGCCCGGGGGCCAGAATCGGCCCAACAAAGACTCCAGTGCGGCCCAGTGGACGGCTTTGGAAAATGTGAACGTGGGGCATAAATGCTGGACTTTGATCTGTAGCTTCATACGTTTTACAGCTTTTCCTGCTGATAGCGACCTCCACCCCCCATGGCCAGTTATACCAGAGTCATTAACCCTTTATGTACCATAGTTTGGCAGGCTTGCCTCTTTACATGACTGTAACTCTGCTACTGTTTGTTCAAAACAAAGAAGAAAAACTGTTAAATCCGAGTTACCTTCTCTGCAGGGTACACGTGCTGGCAGGTTTCTTTCTTTTCTTCATCACGTAGAAAAACTGAGGCATAATGTTGGAAGTTCTTTTTTACAAATCTCAGGGAATACTTGTGTAATTAAACTTCTTTACACGGACATGAAGGCTGTGCGTGTGCCCACGATGTGAAGTGAGTTTGACGTCCCTGCTTTCAAACAAGCCTCCATGCTATAATTTAATGACGTGCCATTATGGGGAGCTGCTGTCTGCCCCACAAATCTTTAAGTCTGGTCTCCAGAATCTTGCCTGTGAAAGCTCAGTCATGACATGAAGGCTGTAAGTGCACAATCACACTGAGTAATGCAGCATTTGAAACAGTCTTCTGTTGTTTCAGCATCCTGCTCGATGAGGAGGGACACATCAAGCTGACCGGTGCGTAACCTTACACCTTTTTCTGTTTCCTCACGCGTACCCCTGCCGCTGTGCTCAGATACTTACTGCTGCTTTCTCTGTGTTTTTATCATGCAAAGCTGGCACTCATCTTTGTACATGTGTGTGCGTTTGTGTGCTCAGACTTCGGCCTCAGCAAGGAGTCGATAGACCACGAGAACAAGGCCTACTCTTTCTGCGGCACGGTGGAGTACATGGCTCCAGAGGTGGTGAACAGGCGAGGACACACGCACAGCGCCGACTGGTGGTCGTACGGCGTTCTCATGGTGAGAGTCCCAAATAATCCGATTGCAATAAATCTTATCGCACTCATTGTGTCGTATCAGCAGTCCTGCGGTCTCAGGTGAGCTGTAATGAGGTTTTCTCCTGGCAGCTCAAATTATTTGGAGCTGTTTGCAAGCTGATAACATTTTTAAATCCTCCGTGGTTCCCACGTAAACATTGTTGCACAAAAAGTCACAAATTACATTTAAATTTGCGCTAGCACAGCTCAAAAGCCCCGACATTTATGAGGAGGTAAACATCCATCTGTTTTCTGCCACTTATCAGTTACAGCAGAGAAGCTCCTGCTCCCTGGCTTCTTTTCCTGGCTCTTCTCAGAGGGACACTGAGGCTTTCCGAAGCCAGCTGAGAGATTTGTTCTCTCTGGCATGTCTGGGTCTGCTCTGGGGCCTCCTCTCAGTTAGGCAAGCTTGAAAAACCTCAAAAGAAGGCGTCCAGAAGGCATCCTTATCAGATGCACAAACCACCTCAGCTGGGTCCTTTTGACATGAAGGATGTTGGAGCTCCTCAGCCAGTCTTAACCCAGACCCCCCGCAGAGGAAGCTCGTTTCTGCTGCTGCTTTTCTTTGGGTTACCACACGCAGCTTAAGTATAAAACACAGCAACTTTAGAACCGATAAGATATTTAAGATTTACTATAGTGATGTATCGGACAATAGTTCACAGCTTTAACAAGCCTACGAGCAAGTTTGATCCCAGGAGGTCAGGTGGTTGTAGTTTGTGGCAGGGAAGCTGCAGAGTGCCCCCTGGTGGACAAACTGTGCACCACAACACTCATAAGATGGCTGAAGGATGTTTCTCTCTTCTTCACGTCTGTAGTTGTCATTTATTTATTATATGCCATTATAAATGTCGATACCAGATGATGTCAGCTCGGTCGGGTAGATACGTTGATGTTTCCAGAGATATTTGTAAAGAGTCGATTTTTTCTAACTTTGGTTCTGTACTTAAACACAATGAAATTTAAATTAAACGAATCGGTTAAAGTTCAGACTTCCAGCTTTACTTCAGCGGGCTGAAGAAAACGATTTCATTTATAATATATTAAAGAATTTATAATGCAAAGTAAATGGACGAGTTAAAGAACTGAAAACGAAATGTTCATTTCTAATACTTGGTTGAAAACCCTTTGCTGGTAATGACAGCCTGACGTGTTGGACTCATGGACATCACCAGATGCTGGGTTTCCTGGATGTGAGCAGACAGTATGCCTCTTCTGTCCTGTGTCACATCATCAATGAACACCAGTGTCGCAGTGACGCTGGCAGCCATGCAAGTCAGAGCCTTCACAGTGCAGATGATGTGGTATGCTAGTAGAAGGTACAATCTGGCTTTTGTGTTCCTGAGGTTGTGAGTGGCTTGCACCTGTAGACGGAGGAGGAGTTTCTCTTCACCATGGAAACGATTCTGCGATCATCCACCACTGCCCTCCACCATGTCTTTTTGCGCTGTCGAGTGCACCACTGCTTTCTTTCTTTGTAGATTTCGATATTGTAACAATTTCTCGGATGAGTTTTTTCTGCCTTCGCAGCTCAAGGATGGCTTGACCACATGTTGTCTGTTCATAGCAAAATCTTCCAAATGCAAGCACCACACCTCAAATCAACTCCAGGCCTTTTATCTGCTTAATTGAAATGACATAACGAAGGAGTTGCCCACACCTGCCCATGAAATAGCCTTTGAGTGAAGTGTCCAATTACTTTTGGCCCCTTTAAAAACAGGGTGGCACATGTTAAGGAGCTGAAACTCCTAAACCTTCATCCAGGTTGAATGTGGACACTCTCAAATGAAAGTTGAGTCTACACATTATACTCATGTCCACAATAAAACGAAGTTTCAATAAACAGGTAACAAAAACCTAACTGTATATGTACTGGATGCAGAAAGTGAGTTTTTTGCTGACCCTTTTTATCAGTAAAATGTCAACAGAACTTGAGGACTATTAAGTATAAAAGTATCTTAAGCTTCCTGTTTTCTGATCTTATTGCACATTGTTATATCAGATCTGTCCTAAAAACTCATTAATTAATAAGCGTGATGGTGTCCTGTTCTCTCACAGTTTGAGATGCTGACGGGAACGCTGCCGTTTCAAGGAAAAGACCGGAAAGAGACGATGACCATGATCCTCAAGTAAGACACCTTACACTCCTGTCCGATCCCCACCCTGCAGCTTTTATTTGAGCTCCCTGTACATCCGAGACGAGACGGAGAGAGAGAGAGAAAGTACAAGGCGAGTCAGCCCAGGGGAGGATTCTTATTAGAGGAGACAGAGTGCAGCACTCAGGAGGAAGAGGAGGATGAGGACTGGATGGACTGAGATGATCTCAGAATGTGCTGATAGCTCTTCATAAAAGAGAGAAAATAATCATGTTGCAGTCGGTGAGAATTAAAGGAAATATTAACCCCTCCTTCTTCCTCTCTCGCTCTCTTTTGACTCTCGGTATCCGCCCGGGGGGAAAGCTGCTGAGCAGACTCTGCAGAGTGCTGAGTGTGCTTCCTGTGTCACATCGACATGTTTCTGTCTAGTCTTTCAGATGCTGGGTACACAACACAGAGCATTCGATATGTTTCTCTCTCCGTTTCACCCCCCCTGCTGCCTTTCTCTGTGTCCATCGCAGGGCCAAGCTGGGAATGCCGCAGTTTCTCAGCTCCGAAGCTCAGAGTCTCCTCAGGAACCTTTTCAAGCGAAACCCCGGCAACAGATTAGGTAAAAGCTGCACACACGAGGCACGTTGAGAGGGTGTTCAATGGGTTTGTGGTTATGGAAGCATTTTCTTAGAATATTCTTCTAAAGTTTATTTATTAAAGCATCCAGTGAGATTAAATAATGACAAAAATGGGAGTTCTCAGTTTTGAGCTCTCTGTAATCCTGGAGATACTTCCAGCAGATTTTCAGTTACAAGTCTACCTGTTTAATCACCCCATGTGACCCTGAGCTGGCGCCCTGTGTCACCCTCTTTGCCAGTGAATTCGCTGCCCCTCCTCGTCACACATCCAACCACCTCAGCCTCATTTCTAATCCCGTCCGTCCTCGTCACTCATAAATAAAATCTGAGCACCTCCAGCTCTGCCAGCTGTCTTTTTGTCAGTTACATCACAGCCCCGTTCTGAGCCCAGTTTGAGCTTCGGCAGGTGTCTCGACCGTGTCTGCATGCATAAATGCACCGTTTAGTTGTTGCCATGTGATTGACTGATTAAGACGCTTAGTACTGCTTAATAATTACAATCCAGCGATTGAGCCGTGGCTTTTGAGGCTCTCGACATGCCGTGCAACACGTGTCACATGCTCGGCTGGTGGGAATGTTTCGAGCTGCCTTCACCGCTGAGGGCACCAAACACAACCCGAGGGCCCCGGAAGCCACAGGTTCATATTTGCTGCATGCAACACCTGCATCTGTTACGCTGTGTAATTCACACAGCGTAACATTCAGCCCTTTATGGTGTTTGTGTTTTTCTGTGGAGATTAGCTCCAAACAAAGTCTCCGCGGGTCTCGTGCAGCCTGTGGAAATGTGATTACAGCAGCATCGGGCTCACTGTCGGTGCGGTGTTTGTTTTAGGAGCTGGGCCGGATGGAGTGGAGGAGATCAAGAGGCATCATTTCTTCAGCACCATCGACTGGAATGTCAGTTTCTCCTTTATTGAAAAATCTGCTTTAATGATGACAGAGTCGTCTTTGGTTATGATTCTGCCTTTCAGTGTGTTTCCTTGTCCCTCATATTTCCTCTCGCTGCAGAAGCTGTACCGCAGAGAAATCCACCCTCCTTTCAAGCCAGCAGCGGGGCGACCTGACGACACCTTCTATTTTGATCCAGAGTTCACAGCTAAAACACCCAGAGGTACAGGCTGTCACTCTACCTCCTCCTCCTGCCCTTCACACTGTGCAGAGCTGAACCGCATTGCCGTATTAACAGCTGTTTCTCTGTGTGAACCAGACTCGCCGGGGGTCCCGCCGAGCGCCAACGCCCATCAGCTGTTCAGAGGGTTCAGCTTTGTGGCCATAACGGAGGAGGAGACGCAGCCACTACCCAATGCTATTGTACAGGTACAGGCAAACGCCTCAGAGGCAGAAATAATCCAGTTAACTGGGCTAACCCTCAGTGGACGGAGGCGACGAGCACAGCACGCGGGGGGCTGTCTTCACACTCCACCCTGGAAAATTTCATTCACACATTTGCTTTCCCGAGGTTTCACTCCTGCACCGCCTTCCTTTCTGGTACATCGTAGCTTTATCACCGGCAGTAGATTAAGTCATGGATGAGTCATTTTTTAAGTGCTTTCAATGAAACAAGAACATTTTCCAAATTCTCCTGAGAAACGCATCCAGACGCCACATCTCTGCACTCTCACATCTCTTGTAATTAGTCTGTTTTTCACCTCAAAATAACAATAATCATCTAATATAAGGATTAATAATCATAGCATCAGTGTAAGGACTCACTAATGTGAGCAGGTTCCTGGGGGAGAAACTGTTTGTAATCAACGCGTAACGCACAGCATGAGCACGAGTGCCGCCGCCGCCGCCGTGGGGCAGAAGTCTCAATCAGGTCCGAGTCGTTGGTCATGAGGACTCACATCTGTTTACATTTTTTTCATGTGCAGCAACTTCACAGAAGCACGTCCCAGTTCGCAGACGCCTACGAGATCAAAGAGGACATCGGCGTCGGCTCCTACTCCATCTGCAAGCGCTGCATACACAAAGGAACCGGCATGGAGTACGCAGTGAAGGTGAACGCGCACAGCAGCTCAACATCTGCTTTTGTGTTTTTAATGCACGCAGGGTGACGGCAGGTTTCTGGAAAGAAGCTGATGATGTACTGAAACGTTCTGAAAGATGATTTCCATCACAGATGTGCAGATATTTATCGATTCTTCATATTTCTATGACCATGTGAACGTGGTTGAGCTTTTAGCTGTTTTAGTTTCGTTCCGTTTGCCGTCTCTGACGCTCACAGTTTACTGTGTCGGTATTGTTGACATTTATGGCGTAAATTAGTTTGAAACAGCTTAAAATGTCCGGTAATTATACAAACGCTGCTCGTTTGAAAAACGAGAGTAAATTACGAGGACGTAACAGATCTGAGCTCCAAACTAAAAGTTGGCTTCAGATTTTGTTGTGCTGCTGGTTTGGAGACATTGCAGGATATTCAAATACTGTTGCTGTTGGTGATAATCTGCATATTTGTCAAAAATGTGAATAAATTAACATAATTGACACTGTTTTTCTGATTTAATGCCACGATAAGTGATGCATTATCTAAGTAGAAACCGTTGTCATCCAGTCCTGTAAAAACTAAGTACGCTCCATAATTCAGTGGCTTGTAAAAGCAGCAATAACTTGAAGCACATTTTTCTGTATGACAGAAATCATGGCTGTGGAGGAACATAGCCCACTCTTCTCTGCAGCACTGCTTCAGTTCATTGAGCTTTGCAGACATGCGTGTATGCACAGCTGTCTGGATGCCTGGGATCATCGTGCTGTTGCATGATCCAATTTGATGTTGATCAGACTAGAGTAGAAAAGCCAGCCTGACACCTGCCAAAGTTCCTGCTTTTATATTGCTGATGATCGAGCACCTGCCTGCTGCTTCCTCTCTTATTTCCTTTCCTCGGTGCGGGCGTCCTCGGTTTTTCACAGGACTCCACAATCCTGCTGAAACTTTGTGTCAGCCTGTGGGATTTAAAAGATCTTAAACTTTAAAAAACTTTCAATAAAAACACTTTATATTCAAAGCACTGTCTCTGTGGCAGATTATCAACAAGTCCAAGAGAGACCCGACGGAGGAGGTGGAGATCCTGCTGAGATACGGGCAGCACCCCAACATCATCACCCTCAAAGACGTGAGTCACTCCCAGCAGAGTTTTGAATTGCTCTAAATCTGCTGCTAAACTTAACCAGGCTCTTCAGTCTCATGGTTATTTTCTTATTTAACGTTATTTAACAAGTGCAGCTCCCCCATCAAGCCCTATCCTGACATATTTATAAATATATTGTTTCATACTTAAAGAACCACGTCACATCAGTTATAGGAACACAAAGCATCAGTGTTGCTGTTATCGTGACACCAACGATGACTTAAAGGTGCTCAGTGTTTCCTCCTGTGTTCAAGGATAGTTTGAAGCCGTGCAGGATTTCTTTACGCAATCAGCAGATGTGAAGAAACACCTGTAATGAATCTAGGCTGGGCTGTAAGTTCATGCAATGCCAGTTTGTACCAGAAGGTGGAGCAGTGAGTGACCTGTAAGCTGTTAGGACATGCTGCCCCCTGCTGGTGAACATCTTGGTTAAAGTTGCACAGGTTAAGTACAAGAGTTTAACTTTAAACTCTTATTGTGAAAATCACCCTCAGCCTGTGTTAACATGGAGTGAAGCTGCCGCGTGACTCATCCAGGTCACTTTCCCACCTCTGGGCTCGACCTGAATATCCGGCGAGCTTTTCCAAGTCGCTGTCGGACAAACAAAAATAATAATTTGCTTGCTGTGATGCTAATGATTTCATTTTTTCTGTGACTCACTGCTAATTAGAGTTAAAAATATCGTCCTGATGATGCTGCTGCTGCTGGGTGAAAATGCCCCCGCTTGCATTTGATCCAGTAACTAATGATGGTTTCATCTAAATTGATGGTTTTCCACTTGAAACAGCAGTGAACACCTGCATGCCGGTGATTCTGCAGCAGGTGTTGGAGGCACTTATAAACGTCTAGTTCCGCATTTTTGTTTTTGCTTTTAATTTTAAGAGCTGAATAAATCAATTCACAGGCGATTTCTGTGACTAAATCGCTGCCGACTTACGTGTGGGTCGGTTTATTTTCGTGTCGTAGGTGTATGACGACGGCCGGTCGGTGTTCCTGGTGACGGAGCTGATGAAGGGAGGCGAGCTGCTGGACAAAATCCTCCGTCAGAAGTTTTTCTCTGAGCGGGAAGCCAGCGCTGTTCTCTACACCATCACCAAGACCGTGGAGTACCTGCATGTGCAAGGGGTGCGTTTCTCCAGAGGCCTTTAGGAGCAGCGGTAAAACAAAGAGATGGACACGAAATGTTCGAGCTCGTCTTTCTGTGGAGATGTGCTGCTGTTCGGCTGTGACAGATGAGAGCCGCTGTGTCAAGTTAAAAAGGTTCTTTATGAGTTGGGACTTGGTCACTTTAAGTCCCATTTGATACAAAATGATGTTAATCCAGTAAATTAAAGCCCCGTTAGAGCTAAAGAGGAGGCTGAAGCAGGCCGTGACAAGCTGCTAACATACGAGCGTGCAGTGTCCACTGCACGACAGAAGAAACTGATTTAAATATGAAATAAGCCCATTTTTCCATCATGCAACAATCAAAAAGTGTACAGAATAAAGACATGTCAGTAAAGTAATAGAATGGACACTACGGGACTAACTAATCTGTCTCGATTGGTCGGTCGAAGAAAGCTCATTCTGTCCATGTCTTCAGTAGGTTTAGTCAAATTGTATAATAGCACCTAGACGATCCAGCAGACCATGCGATTCAAGGTGACAACGAAGAGAGAGAAGTAGATGTGTCACAGAATCAGCACACTCCGTGACTCTGGTCGCCTGCTGGGTTTGCAGTTGGTAAGAGCATGAGACCACCAAACCATCAGTACAGATACACCGCGTCAACACCAGGAGGAAGCACACAGCCTAAGCTCCAGTATGGACGAGAGCGGGAACGCCGAGTCCATCAGGATCTGCGACTTTGGCTTCGCCAAGCAGCTGAGAGCGGAGAACGGCCTGCTCATGACGCCGTGTTACACCGCCAACTTCGTCGCCCCCGAGGTACGTCGGGGTTCCTCCTTCCTTTATTTTTTCACCATTTTGCTTTATTTCCTGTCATCATCGTGCGTGCTCTGTAGGACACCACAGATTTGCCATTTTAGCATCTTTTTACTTAAACTTTCACTTTCGTGAGGTTCAGAATTCCTTCCCATATTTTGTCTGATGCCGTTATTTAACACATTTAAAACAAACGTTGAACAAAAGAAAAGTCAAAAGTCTCCCATCAAAGTGCAGCTCCGTCAGGTGCCCCTCAGCTCGAGGACAGCAAACTTTCCGAGGACAGACGGGACCGGAGCACGCTGATTAATTCACAGCCTTCGGTTGTGTGAACAGACTAATGTTTTGACACTCCTGCGTCTTCCTCACAGTCAGCTGTTGTTCACTAACTGTTAAGAAAAAACACCATACAGCCAGCCAACGAGATCTGTCTGACAAATTAACTAAAAAGTCTTAAATATATCCGAATATCTGTTTCTGCTGACACTGTTCAACTGAAAGATCTCTAAATATTTATCAGACTTAAATCAGGCTACTGAAACCCTGTTTACCTGAGGAATAATCACCTGTGCACAACTCTTAGAGCTGTCACAGTATCAGAGTTTTGCGATTAAAGCTGAAATACTGACACTCAGTCATCAAAATACTGATGGACAATGCAAATGCTGCAAAATGCTGATTTCCTGTTGCCACCAGGTGGCGCTGTGTCTCTCAGTCAGTATTGGCACGAAGGCGCCTGGACTCTCGTCACAGGTTTGGTCAAACTTCTTCTGCTGTAGCGAAACATCGAAATTCACCGTGTCATCACGGAGGCGCCCTTTAACAAAAACTCAAATGCTTCACAATTTAGCATCAAGAAGGTCGTCAGATTAAACGAGCAGAAGAAGACGCGCTGAATCCAAAATACTCAGGTTGTTTTGTGGTTCAGGAAGTCTGGACGTCACATGACGACATGCAAGATCCACAGTGTATAAAATATTTGTTAGCTAGCTTCCTGCTCCATAAAATTAATGAGATCAAATAGATTCTTTTGACGGCTTCTTCCATTTTTTTTACACGACTCTCCATATAAACACTTAACAGTGATTCTTTTGCTGTCTGCACCTGTTTGCACCTGTTTGCACCTGTTTGCACCTGTTTGCACCTGTTTGCACCTGTTTGCACCTGTTTGCACCTGTTTGCACCTGTTTGCACCTGTGCGTCATCGCTGTGTAACTAAGCCTGAACCAAACAGTCCTTCAGAGACAAAGCATGTTCAGACAGCCCTGATTACACAGCTGCCAAGTGTAGGGAATATAAATATATGTGTGAGAGGTGTAATCTTGATCATTTGGAGGGTGCTGACGCTCTTTTTGTTGCAGAGAAAGGAGAAGGCAGGACGTTACTTTTGCTTGAAGCTGGTGTTTTCTGTTCCTGGCAGGTGTTGAAGAAGCAGGGTTATGACGCAGCCTGTGACATCTGGAGTCTCGGAGTCCTGCTCTACACGATGCTAACAGGGTAACAGAGACTTTACTCTTCGCTTCTAAGAAACTTAATTTAACATTGAAACTTCTTACTTTTTCTTTACCTGACATCAGTTTGTCAAAGATGCTTCTTTGTTACAAAAAGTAAAAGAAAGGCCAACAATGATGGTTCATGGTCATCAGGCGGTTTGCTAACCACAGCTGGTTGATGGTGAGCTGGTGGTATTTCCTGATGAGCCGCGGTCTGAAAGGACTCACTGAGAAGGCAAAATGAAATTCCTTATGAAACAAATGTCGTCAAGGCAACGAGTGATGATCTCACATTGAAATAATTGATGTGTTTACACTGTCTGTGTGAAGTTAATGCCTGTTCTGTCATAGTTTTGGTGCCTGTTTGCAGGTCTTACACTTCCTGCATATCAGCCTCTTTGCTCTGTCCTTCCAGTTTCACTCCATTTGCTAACGGTCCAGAGGACACCCCGGAGGAAATTTTGGCTCGGATCGGCAGCGGGAAGTTCTCTCTCAGCGGAGGATACTGGAACTCTGTCTCAACTGAAGCTAAGGTGAGGCCTGTTTCCTAACAAACACACAGAAAAGTAGCTCCGATTGAAGTGAGCCGCTCACCGTCTCTCTGTGATCGCCACGGTGACCCTGAGTTCAGTTGTAACCTCTGACCCTTTAGGACCTGGTGTCTAAGATGCTGCATGTCGACCCCCACCAGCGGCTGACAGCGGGGCAGGTCCTCAGACACCCGTGGGTGACGCACAGAGACCAGCTACCCAAATACACCCTCAACAGACAGGACGCACCACTCCTCGTCAAGGTAACCATCCATCCATCCATCCATCCATCTCCATCATCCGTCAGTGGTTGATTGATTAATCGATTTGTATTCTGGCTCCTCCTACAGGGTGCGATGGCGGCCACCTACTCTGCCCTTAACAGGAATGTCCCCCCGGTCCTAGAGCCTGTGGGCTGCTCCACTCTGGCCCAGCGGCGGGGGTTGAAGAAGATCACTTCCACCGCTCTGTGACCTCCTCTTTCTCCTCCGCCTCCTTCTTTTCTTCCTCCTCCCGTCAACTCTGACCTCGATCTGACCTCCGCCGGACCTTCCCTCTCCCTCACTTCGGTCCGGCGGGACAGACTACTGATGGACCTGGGAACCGCTAACGCCAAATAGGAGCACAGAGGCCGCCCCCCTCCCTCCTCGATCTCTCCCTCACCTCTGCGGGCTCTTCTGA